TGGAATAAGTTGGTTACTGGATTATAAATGTAAAAAATAAAAATAAAAAGAAAGGAATAAGTTGGTCATCTGGCAGAAGAAGAAGAAGGCAACAGAAATTTACTGCAACAAAGGAATAGCTCTGGCTCTATGCCCACTGGATAAGAGTTTAACAGACAGCTGTCAGCAGTGACAATATGAAAAAGTGAGAAAATTTGTAACATTTCCACAATGCAAATACTTTATTTAATTGTACAGCACCACTCACTACTAGTAGTTCATGAGGTGACAAATTTTCTGGAGAAACATTGCGCGGTTCATGTGTAACCATTTCTGCAGAAAGTGCAGGTGCTTTTGGAAAATCCTTGTCCAGTAACCCTAATTTTGCACGAACAACAGGAAGTTTGAGAGATACTTGCTGCAAGATTGATTGTATCGAGTCAGACAATGAAACACGCTCTTATCATTCCTGCTTAGGAGTTAAAACAATGAGCTTCAGAATAAAAGATGAATTTGTAAAGTAGATCCTAAGAACACAAAGGGAAAGCTAGGGAAAATAGGCTGGGATTAATTTTATCTGCAATAGCACACTATTCAAGGTGCCAAAAGATGGCACTGCCCATTGTACACTGGCAAGGACAGTTGAAAGGTTTAAGAATGGAAATGACAATCTGAAGAAAAAACTCCCAACAAACTATCTCTACCCAATTAGAGCATCAGACAGCCAGACTTATTATTCTCACTTCTCAGAATCCACAAAGCGTGGCAAGAAGCAACAAATCCAAAAGTATTAAAAAGCAGGCACAACTGGAAAGTGCTTTGCACACGAGTGCTTAACAAATGATGTTTGCTATGCCAGATGTGGAACTCGACATGCCAATGCTTTCCTATGACCATGTCACAAAAACATGGCATCCCCCTCGTAAGCTAATAAACCATGTCAAAGGACTTCAAACAACACGTTTCCACAAATAGAGCTATTTCTTTTGTCTGCCAGTTCATTTAGTTCTCCATATACCACAAACTGCAATTATAGAGTTAGAAAGCAAGAAAGCAGCCAACCACAACTAGATGATTCTGTACAATGTTAATAGTGAAAATCCTCTTTCCATTTATCTGACCACGTTGAAAGCTTTTGTACCTTCCTTACCTTTTGTTAAGTTTTTAAAGAGGAACCATGTAACCAAATGTATTATGGTTGTTTAAGGATAAACTCCCCAAGGAAATTCACCTTTTCAAATGAAGCACCAACTGTAATTCTTTCGTTGGACAGGTAAAAACATACTAGAAAATAACATCACAAGTATAACCAAGATAAAATCTGCAAGGTATGGAAAGGTAACAGATATATCCTGCAACCGTAAAGTGTGATAACTAACCTGTATTGCAGTTAATGAACTGTTGGTAACCCAGTAAACTAGACTTCCCTGGAAGACAAAACAGAAAAAGAGAATGTGAATCTGTGTACAGAGAAGCTCAATATCAAAATAAAGGGGTTATTTTTAAGTGGAATCCTCAAAGGTACTGTAAGTGGAATCCTTTTATCATATCATTATAATCCCTTGCTAAACAAGCTGCAAAAATAATAATGCAATGACTTTATATGTGCATTGCCATTGGACTTTGCTTAGTGTCCTTCCTGCGTTGTATGACGGTGAATAATTGTGATATCACCAACGCAGTGACAAGAGGAATGGATTCATTGAATGCATGAAGGCTTTGTGGCTTGAAATGTGGAGTGTAGGAGAAAACATGATGAAACCATTCCTCGGACTTTGACTCAATAATTCAAAAGCTACCAACATGCCATAAAATATCTTTTTTATTGGTATAATTGATTTTACCCCACATACCAAAATTGTACAACATTGAGAAGGAAAAAATGGTATTGAAAATTCATGAAAACATAAATTTTATCAAAACAGAAGGTCTGTATTGTTTTAGCAAGGAGCGCACACACACAACACACACACACACACACACGGAATGCAGTAACCAATGGAGACATTGCAATATAGAAAACCTGCATGAAACACTAACAATCATTCATAAAAAATAAATATCTTTTAAAGTGAATAAAGGCAAAAAAAAGTATTATTGGCTTGTCAATTGGTACATAAAAAATCCATTTCAAAGGATTCCGTTTTCCAAATTATATGGAATTTTCACATTGCATCTTTCTATGTTGTTCATAAAATAATTTTTTATAACTATTATTCATGAAACTTAATTTAATATATTTAAAAAAATACTTAATTTCAATGGTTTGAATAATGCACACGTCAGAAATCACTAGTTTAAATTTCCAAGGTGGTAAGCTAAGAATAAACCTATATCATATAACAGGCTAAATTCCTAGAAACATGAAGTCATGCTATGTTACCTGTGGAATGCAGTAACCAATGAAAAACAAAGGCAGCATCATAAAATTCAGATATTTCTTGTAGTACTGCAATAACAAAGACTTTTTCAATCACTTGCATGAACCAAAACGATACTGCACATATGAGAAGGAGAATTCAATCATTATTCAAGAATTAAGCAACCAATGAACTTGTAGTGCTCACTTCTGATAATAAGCCCAATAGGCCACTTGTGTTCCGAACAGAAGATCTGTCAAAAGAGAACTGAAAAAAATATATCAGACGAGTCAGTGAACTATCCAAACCATTGCCATGTATAGCTAATCAAACATTTGCTACCAAACCTAACATCTTTAGAAACTGAAACCATTTCCAGTAAAAAAAAATAAAAGATTGTCACAAGGCAAAGATATGTTAAGAGCTATTATTCATCAAACTACTAATGCAGGACATTGTCAAAGGTATGGGAGTAACCAAGCGTAAATCCAACATTTTTGAAACAGATATCTTTTGCACCTTGTCCTTCAATTCCTCTATTAACATAATTACATATCTCATTCACCAGAAGGAAAAAAAAACAGAGAGAGAGGGTGAGACAGTATAGGGCCCCATACATGAACATTAACACCGTGCAAACCAGCAATAAGAAATGGAAAGATTGGGCCTAAAACACCATGAGGAAGTTCAGTCAAGTTCTGAAACCATAGAGTGCCGCCCTGTAATTAATACGGAAAAGTTTCACAATTAGTAATCGGCCAAGTAATTCAAATGCAATGTAATGCATGATTACAATTTCTCAACTGTATCAAAGTAACTGAAAACGAAGATTACAAACAGAAGTTATTATTCTGTATAAAACCAATACTCCAACATTAACCTCATAGTTGAACTAACAAACTACAGTCAGCGCTGAAAATGTTAAGAAAATACAAGTCCAACAAAAGTCTGGTAGCTTAGCTATAATAATACTAATAATAATAATAATAATCCCATCATTTCCTTACACAATCAAACCCAGGATGATTATCCAGACACATTCGTCGAATACTTGTCATCCACAAGAGAAAGCACGGTATCTGCAAATAAATTGAGAGAAAAAGGCGAGATTAATAACTAGATTAAATCTCCAATTTTTGAAACAGGAGAAAAGTGATAGATAGATTTGGTTCACCTGTACAGAGAGGAAAGCAAGAAACCATAAATAAGAAGGGCAGCCAATTGCTCTTCTTTCCTTTCTAAAAAGAGATATCTGCTCGATATAGCTTCTTCCTGACAGAGGTGGTGGGAATAGAGGAGGCACTATGAGAAATAAATGCAAAAAATAAAAATTATTGTAGCTTAAAATTGTAATTCTAAAAGAAAAAAAATACTTGGGATGAAAATAAAAATAAAAATAAAACAAATACTTACATTTAGAAAAAGACTGAGAAATTTTCTTAATCTTGTGCATTTGCAGAACATGTAAAGGAAAGAGCGTTAATCTCATTGCCAGTGTTGATGAAGCAATGATTATCCACCTGCATGATTTAATTTCTTTCTTAAAATAAAACAACTAAATCAAAATTGAGCAGAGAGAGTGAAGTAAATTGCCTGACCATGGAAGACCAGTGAGATCATGATATGAATCAAGCAACCAAATCATTGAGTCTACCGGAAGGACACCGTTAACAACTCCATCCTCGGTCTCGGTGGAGACAGGATCAGCAAATTCTTCGAAATTGATAGATTCGGACGCGGTGCGAGTCGACAAGGATCGACAGGAAGGGAAATTAAAAGAAGCAAGTGAGTTGCGAGACGATATTGCATTTGAAGTTTGTGAAGTGAGAGAATTGGGGTTAGGGCTAGAGTTCGCGAGGGAATGAGAGAGCGTGGAGATAGGACGAGAACGACGGAGGGTTGAGAGTAAAAGACTGCGAGTTGCCATTACTCCTTCTGCCTGAACAGAATACCGGAGTCTTTATTCTTTGTAACCTTAAAGACTCATTATTTCCAATTCTTTATTTCAAAATTAATTTTCTCATTTTATATTTAGAAACATGGCTGGCGTGTGTTTTAAGAAATATATATATATATATATATATATATATATATATATATTTCAAAATAATTTCTTTAAAAAAATTAAAATAAGATTTAAATATATTTTCAAATAAAAAATATTTTTAAAAAATAATTATTATTACAACACTAACAAAATAACTAATACAATTATAGTTGGTTGACGAGGATAATCAAAAGTAGCTGTATAATTATTATTTTCAATCAAGTAAAAAAAAGAAGAATTTTTTTAAAGGGATTTATTTTTGTTAAGAACTTAACAATTTAATAATTACTCTGAATACTATGTTCTTCGATTCTTTCTTTTCTACTTTAAGGGCTGTTTTTTAAAACATTACATAGGTTTTTTTTCCAATCCTTTTCAAGTCTCCAACTAATTTTGTCGAAAAAACTCTATAAAATACGAAATAAAAATAATTAATGAGATAGTTTTAGTATTTATACTTGTGTTTTTAGTTTATAACACAGGATCCTATATGAATTTTGTTCATTTCAAGTTTATTATTCTCTCTGATGCCGATCAAGCTATAGACAGTCATTTCTCTTGCATGGTTAGAGTACAGTTTAAGATCAAGCCCTCACAGGCTCAAATGCATGACATAAACAAATGACAGGGGATTGATTAAAACTAAGCCAGAAACCCTCTGGCAGTGTTTCTGGTATTAAATCCTCGCCATTCCTTGCTATTTATCTGAAGCCGTTTTAAGCGCACGCTTTAGCTGTCAACAGGAGATTGTATAGACTCGGCGGTCTGGCAGTGCATTGGCTTCCATCAACACAAAAGGTGTACATATTTTGATTGAGAGGGAAGAATCATTGATGCTATATAAATCTGGTTGACAGGAAAAATATCCGGGGGCTGTAGAAGATAATCAGCTAGCTAGCTCTTCTGCACGCAATCAAAACAGCACGTACTATGCATCTCCGTTTTCAGTTACTCTGTGGTTGCCTTTCTTTGTTTCAGATTGAGGGAAAAAATTCTTTCCAGTTTCTGCGTTATCGATCCTTTACCGTTACGGAATCTATATTCAGAACTCTGTTTGTGCTATCATGGCTTGCCCTGAAGTACTTGGACAATCTCTTCTGCTCTTGATTGAATGCCCTTGAGATACTCGATCAGAATGCATTGCTGGTATGACCCTCCTTCCTACAAGTGAGAGAGGGTATGGAAAACGGGGGTATGTCTCTGTGCATGATTTGTGTGTCATAGGTGGGGGGTGGTGTGGCGTGAGGCTGTAAGAAATACATGATGACAAAAATACGAGTGACTAAAATTCAAGGCAGAAGGTTTTATTACTGTTCGGATCAATGTCCTCGCAAAGTGTTCCTCAGGAGAAATTCCCCCTTTGCCAACAGTCATTCCATTGAGCAAAATCTTGTTCCATTTTTCTTCAGGAGCTGCAGCAAACAAATGTCAAGTGAGTCTGGATGCCTATCAAATGATCCTAGGATTCCTACATAAATCTTTGATGGTCTAGAAAAACTTGATTCGATGCCGAGACAGGTTTAACTTATATGCCACTTGGCAAGGATCAATCCAACAGGTAGATTTTTGCAAGTCTAAGCTTTCCAAGATTAAATTTCATATGCCTGAACCATATTTGTGTTGTCTCAACAATCTATATTTACGGCTCATTTTTATTCTGGAAGCACAATAGTTAAGGAAGATGGCACCTCTGATTATAGTCTCCAGAAACTGCCCAGCCTTCAAAACTTCCTCTACTGCACCACAAACATAGACAATACTAGCTGTTCAAGGCATCCAACTTACAAGTTCAAGCGAACAGCAAAGAATATGGAAGTGAGGATTATTCCAAAGACAGGAGGGAAATGGAGAATAGAGATAGGAAATGAAGATTTATGGCATAGAAATTTTAAATTCCTGATAGATACAGATGTAACCAAACTCTGGAATCAAATTTTGCAGACGATTCTAAAATACCAAAAAAAAAACTGTATGATCACAAAGATTCACCTCCCTGTAAAAGATAAATGAAGTTCAGAAAACCTAACACTTTGAAAGATCAACAACAGCATCACCCAAGCTACAAAACTAGGTCTAACAATTTAATTATATGTTGCTTTTTAAAAATGTTTTTTGCTTGAACATATCCCTAATTATAGGCATGGTGACCAGCTGCATTTTTCAATTTTGCAAAGACTATCATTTTTTAAGACATAATTTTGAAGTAATGATGTAAAAGTTAACACAATATAATTACCTTTGTTTGCATAACGACGTTTGGAGAGAATACTGGAAGCATAGAGTTGCAGAACCTTTAGCAACATGGCCTCAAGCCCTGGCGTGTCCCCGTCTTCTTTTGCCTTCCAATGAGTATAAGATGAGTTCTCACCCATATTCATAGAAAAGACTCGTATTAGTTCGTCTAATAAAATAATAAAAGACTATCCCACTTCTGCCCTCATCTCATCTGACAAGCACCCGAATTCACTTCGACTTATAATGCTTGCAAGGTGCTTTTGATGATCAACACAGATCATGAGCAAAAAATAACACACGGGTATAAATGTATTCCAGCCATGACCATATATGCAGACTTTGAATCCATTCAAGAGAAATTTAAAACATTTTGCTTATGATCTTTCACTGTCCAGAGAACAGTCTACTGAGCAAAAAAAAAAAAAAAAAAAACCATTTCAGATATGTACCATAGAAACAGAAAGCACTCACTTGTGGTAGTTGTGCACTAACTTCTGAAAGGAGCCCTTCGTCTAGTTGCCCTTCTCGCTCCCTTTGAATCATATCCTGATGAATGAAAGTATAAAAAGTTGCATAAGTTCAATTCAGAGAATGAAGGCATTGACAATGAAGAGAAAAGGGAAAATCTGAAATCAAATCGAAGCAAAAACTTACTCTCCGTTAGTTTGAGAGCCTCTGGATCTCTAGGAAGCCAGTGAATCTCTTCCTCTCCATCAACTATGGGTTCAAAATTGCCTTGAGAATATCAGTAGCTGACTCGATCCTTTCCTACAGAAGAAAAAATATGGAGGAAGAAGAGAAGTCAACAATAGAACTGTTACGTGTTAAACAATAAAGGAAAACAAAGAAAACTGCTTATGAGAGGAGGTTGGGTTGGGTTGGGTTGTTGTTTACACTGGTCTTATGGACCAGAAGATCCACCATACTCATCACAGATATTGCCAACTCCTCCTAATCTTCTGCAAAAATACAAATAAAGCCAGAGAAATTCTTAGAAAAAGTAAGGATATGAATCAAGCTTCATAAACATCATAAAAAATTAGAATTAAGCAGGAAGAAAACTATGCCTTATCATCCTCTGATTTGCCCGAATCAGTTCGAGCTGCAAGTCGTATCCAAAAACCCTCATTGAAAGCAAGGACATTTTCAACAACAAGCTTCTGCAGCTGTTCACATAAAAGAAAATGCAGCTAGGCTAAGAAAATAATTAAATCCAATAAATGGAATTTAATGAAAGGCAAGCTACAAAGGAGTTTATTGCTTGTCTAGGATTTGCATCCCTCAGCATGTCTTTCAGCCTATCCACTTATATGTCTTTTTCAATGATTCCTCTGGATCTTGATAGACTGCACAGATTAGAGTTCTCCTATTTTACAACCAACAGCTCCATGTTATCAGATAAGAAACCTCAATTCAAAAAAAAAAGATTTGAGAAATACAATTTTTCTTCAGTGTAACCCAAATCATGCGAAACACCGATTACTAAACATTGTATATCAGACATGGGATCATTACCTCCTCTTTGACTGTGTTCAGAATTTTGATAAAACCGAGTTGAACTTCTACACAGTGAGAGGCATAAATATAGAGAAAAACATGAGCATGAATTCCATTCACCAAGTTGTGCATACGAAAGAGAAAGTAGTTTACTTACCTGGTGGTTATGACTTGAAGAGGAAAAGGGAGAGTTGAAAAGAAGAGATTTTGGATGCATGAGCAAATAGCGTGGTCATGTTGGTTTACAGTACAGACAGTGGCGGGAGAAGCAAGTAACAACTAACGGCCGTTCAGTCTGGCAAGCAAATATTTGATAATTGAGTGGCCCTTTTGGTGATGAGTGAGCTATGAACATGAAACGGTTGGGCAGACAAGATGCAAACGAAAGGATGTTTGGAGTGGGCTGTGCTTGTGAGAAACCCGACACTTGGACTCTGTTTAACTGAGTTCGATCGATGCTTTTCTTTCTTTCTTGGTTATTAACATTGGGTTTCGTGTGTAATGGGCCAAACTTCGATCACAGGTACTGTACCCGTTCCGTTATTAAGATACAAGTCCGCTGCCAGACAGGAAAAACTTTAATTTATTTGTTTTTGTTTTTGTGTTTTAAAAAAAATATTAAAAAATATTAATTTTTTTTAATTTTAAATTAATTTTATATTTTTATATTATTTTAATATATTGATATTAAAAATAATTTTTAAAAAATAAAAAATATTATTTTAATATATTTTTTAAACTGATGGGTTTAAGATATTTATATAGTATACATATAACTATTATGTATATATTTTTATATTATCCAATTAAACTCTTAAAATTGGTAGGTTGTTTCTTAGGAACTATGGAATTTTAAGTCGAGATAGTTTATGATTTTAATTTAAAAAATCGTCTTTTATTAATAAAATTGGAGATTTTAGTTTTATATAATTTTTATAATATTTTTAATTTTGAAATTAGAAGGTTATTGTTTAGGAATTTGTAGTTTAAATTCAATAAAAAAATTTCTTATCCATGAAATTGAAGGTTTTAATTCTAGCTTGTGTGTATATTTTCATAATATTCAATTAAATTTTAAAAACTGATGGGTTATCTTTTAATTAATGTCTTTAAAATATTGGTTCAAAACAGTTCTGAAGTGGAGAAATTATTCTTACCCTGCAAGTGTAAATCCTAATTAATAAGCTGACAAGTGAAGAAAAAGATTTTATACATGTAAATGAAGAAAATATCTTAATGAAATTAAAAGAGAGTTTCAAATAAAACTTGGAATCAAAACTTTTTCCAATATAATTGTTAATTGTTGTTTTTATCTAGACCACTTGAAATATCATATTATAATTTTTAATTTAAGATATTTATTGAATATTATTTATTAATATATAATATCATAAGGAAATTATATATATATATATATATATATAGTTAATTATTTCGCACAGGAGTTTAAAATTTAGTTATTAGACAAATTAAGATTTAATTTCATTACATATAACATGTTTGATTTTTCCAATGGCCCGTGGAACACGACGGACTTTGACTAGTTCAAAGAAAAGAAGGAGAGAGTCCAAGCTCGCTATTCATTCTTATTTAGAAATATTAAATATTGTCCACGAGAGGAGGCTTGGACTCGGAACTTGGTCTTGTTCTTGGAACAAGGTGTCATAATAAAATAATGTTTTAGGTTTTAAGTTTTAAAACTTTAAAATTCATGAAATTAATATATATAAATTAATCGAAATATTTATATTAATAATAATTGAAAAAAATTATATTTTAAACTGTATTTTATTAAAATTTATTTATTTTTTATTTGAAGAGCGATAAAAATCCTTTATCATGGATGTACAAATTTATTTATTTAAAATGCTATTTTTTATATTTTTGAATTGTGTAATTTAGAGAGCCATAACAACACTCGTTGGCACTTCATGGCAAAGTGACCGATCAATCAACCTGATATAACATCCAGAATGAAAGAGTTGGCGTGACCCTCGCAAATTAGAATTGAACGGGGACCAGAAACACTTCTGGTCAAAAGCCGAAACCCTTGTCGAGGCCCTTTTGGCTAAGATCGAGACCTAATATTGGCTGAGCCCTTTGAAATTTATAGTTGGACAGAAATCTCTTGCCAACCAATTCAGCTTCTCAACCTCACAGTGGTTGAACACTCGGCAAACTTGAAATGCGGTGGTCGAAATTATGTTATTAAAAATTTTGAATTTTTTTTGTTAAAAATAATTTTTTTATATTTTTAAATTATTTTGATGTGTTGATATTACAAATTATTTTTAAAAAATAAAAAGTATTATTTCAATATATTTTTAAATAAAAAGCATTTTAAACTTAAACTGTAATTATTATCAAAATCTCAGATATATACATGTTAACGTGCATCTCTTGCCAACCGGTGTTTTGTTTGGAAGTCAGGTCAAAGGGGCGACTGTTGCATGGAAACTTCAGGACTTGCCTCGTGATTCACAAAAGGGTCCTAGGACTCCACGAAGAGGTAATCAATCCTTTCCCATCTGTGTGTGTGTGTGTGTGTGTGTGTGTTACATGAGTTGAGGAGGAGATTTCTCATAACCACGTGGTCAAATATAGATAATTATTTGCGTAAAACTTGACCGGAGAAGTATCAAGTCTTCACACGTATAACTCGACATGGGAATCATCGAGCTAAATCACGATTATCAGCTTATCCCTGCAATCACCCACCCACGTCCAAAAATTAAAGCGTTTTAAACACTTGATCCTGCTACATCCCAGCGCCATTGTTGCGTTCCAAGTAATAGATGAGGAAGCATGAGTTAATTCTGTTCAAGTCAAAATAGCGCATGTTTAACCTAAAATCATATAAAATATTTTTTAACTAATTCTGTTTTTCAAAGCTGATTCTAAGCTTAAATTATATATTTATCTGTTATAACGGTAGCACAGACTTAGCTTTATCATTTATCAGTTTCTTAAATTACACTTTCAATTGCTTTGTATATAACATAAAACTTCTATCAATAAAAATATAGGAAATTTTATTCATTGTAATTACAAGAGATATCTACTTTCGTTATTTGGTATCAGAGCACCAAATCTGTAAATTATAGAACATATTCTCTCATTAATTCTATTTTTAAAAGCTGATTTTAAGCTTAAATTATATAGTTATATATTATAATGGTAGCACAGACTTAATTTTATCATTTACAGGTTTTCTAAATTACACTCTCAATTACCTTGTATATAACACAGAAGTTTAGAAGTGTGAGAGATTTTATTCATTGCAATCACAAGAGATATTTGCTTTTGTTATATGGTATTAGAGCACCCAATCTCTAACGAGTTACAGATTCAAATCGCCACCATGAGCTCTTCCTCTTATCAAAATTCAAATTTTAATCTCAACACCCAACCTCCTTCTGTAACAGATAAATCATTAATTTCCCTCAACAGTACCGCTCAAATCAATGAAAAGCTTACTCCCTCCACCTTCATTTCATGGTGTGCATAATTTGAAGCTCTTCTTATTAGTTATGATTTACTCGATTATATCGAAGGCACTATTATATGTCCCATATCTGCGTGTATAGCAGTTGATGAGCCGCACAAGACCTACTAGGTCTGACAGGATAAGCTTATCCTGAGTGCTATTTCAGCTTCCACATCTCCTTCAATTACCCCACTCATTGCTGCAGCAAAAACCTTCCATAAAGCTTGGAAAAAACTAAAAAAACCTCTATGCTAGCAGATCAAGAACTCGTGCTATGCAGTTAAAGGAAGAACTCACCTTCATCCAACGTGGAAATCGGTCAATTCCAGAACATCTTCATATTGTGAAGGTCTTGGGTGATGAAATAGCCATTATTGATCATTCAATTTCAGATGATGACCTAACCTTTTATGTGTTAAATGGTTTAGGTCCAGACTTTTGGGAGATTGTAGCACCGATTCGAACCAGAGAATCATCATCAACCTTTGAAGAGTTGCATGATCTTGTGGTTGGACATGAAGCATATTTGAGGCACCTAGAAACTGCAATGTAGCAATTGGTTACCTCTGCCAATTTCATAAAGATGAAATATGCTCAAAAGGGGAATAAATCTTGGTCCTCCTACAACTATTATAATACACGTGGACATTAAAGTTATAACTCAGGTCTCAATGCGATGGATATCGATCCAACAACTATTTTAGCAGGCCAAATAATTTCAATCAGTATTCCCAGCCTAAATGCCAAATTTGTGACCAGTTGGGCTATACTGATAAGTTTTATCCTCAATACCACTCGCAGAATGCCTCTACCAATTGTGCTACCACTTCTATTGGAAAGGATAAAACTTGGTTGCTTGATAAAACTGCCTTTCATAATATCACATTTGCTTGATAAAACTGCCCATCATCCCCTTCCAACTTCAAATCGAACTGGTTCTTCATTATCTTTATACCTTTCATAATATCACAGGTGATATTTCTAATTTATCTATTTATTATAAATATGAACGGACTGACAAAGTCATTCTCGGTGATGGTTCACATTTGCTAGTTTCACACATTGACTCTTTGGTTTTACATTCACCTCATCGTACTTTTACATTGCGTGATACTTTTTATGTTCCCAATCTCTATTAAAATTTAATTTTTGTTCATTATCTCACCAAAAAAAATATCTTTGTTGAATTTCACCCTTTTTATTTTCTTGTGAAGGACAAGATCACGAGGACGTACTAAAAGGAGCATGTAACAAATGACATCTACGCCTTCCCCACCTCAATGACGGCGTCCAAAATGGTTGCTAATATGCATGAACAGACTTCTATTGATGGATGGAACAAACATCTTAGGCATCCTACTTTTAAAATTGTCTATCATCTTGTTAAGAATTTTTCTCTCCCTACTTCATCAACCAACAAGTAGTCTTCATTATGCCATTCGTGTTCTATTAATAAAGCCCATCAATAACCTTTTCATGCAAATAATCTTCAAAGCCACGAGCCCCATAAATTAATTTACACAGATATATGGGGTCTTGCAAATTCTACTGATATTGATGGATCAAAATATTATCTTGTTTTTGTTGATCATTACACAAAATATATATGGTCACATCCAATGGGCATAAAATCTGGTGTTTCTATTATTTTTCCACATTTCAAAAAGTTTGTTGAAACTCATTTTCAAGAATCCATCAAAACACTAAACTTCGACAATAGTGGTGAGTTCATATCTTTAAAATCATATCTTTTACATCATAGCATAACTCACTACACCACTGCTCCATACACACCTCAACAAAATGGTGTCTCTGAAAATCACCATC